CCCCCCAAAAAAAAAAACCAAAAAAAAACAAACAACAACCCATGCGCACGATTATATAATAATAGTAGTCGGCCTACATTATGAACTCTTTAAGCGAAAAGTAGGGCGAGATGAGGCACGTGACAGCTACCATTTTGATTCCCTGATTGTTTCGGAATTTCAAGTGTCTGTCCACCATACCTATTTTTACTACTTTTAGAAAGATTCGAGTGTCATCAGCTTTACGCTTGTTAAGTATGGAAATAACAAGAAACTTGTAAAACTGCGCAGTATTCTCACCTAAGAATAATAAAATAAAACTAAACAAAAACCCAAACATTGCGCCAAACCACTTTCTTTTGGATCATGTTTATGTGAAGCAAAGAGGTTATCTGATAGTGTAAGAGGACGAAGCTGTGACGTCACCCACGCTGTGCGGCAAGGATGTGATAAAAAACGATCTTTGGTGGGGGCCCACTGAGCTTGCTTTGTCGCCATTTTTGAGTGGGTTAGAAACAGCGCTGTCAGTACTGTCAAAAACCAGTTTTTGGTACTGTCACGGGGCGCTGCGCATCTCTCGCAGCGCTTAGGTCTTCATGTAATTGAAGCTCAGTTCACTTTTATTTTAAGCTTTCTTTTTGTTTGCTGTTTTTGTTTAATCATATATAATCATACATGCATACACAATACCGCATCTACAGACCGATTGAGGGAAACATAAATGCTTTTAAATGTGGGATACAAAGGAGAGAGACATAACTTTTTTTTCCTGGGTGGGTTGGGAGAGGGGCAGAGGGAGACGAAGTGAGTAATAGAGGTTGTTAAGAAAAAGGACATTTTCATACTTACAAAATGGATTGCTAATATGTCATAATATTGTCTCTACACTTTTCTTCTACTGGTGCAAAGCCTAGGCCTTCCAAGAGTATACAGAGGGTTAAGACAGGGTTAATTATATAATAATATTTCATTTATTCATTATTATCTCAAAATGAGTAATTTGTAGACTGGGATACTGTAAATCACTCATCGTACTGATCTTGTGCGTGCACCCAAAGAGTGTTTAATATCCGGCACCAATATAGAAATTTTAAATTACTGGATCAATATTTTTTATATTTAAAAAAAGATTGTTTAGTCATTGGTCTTCCAGAGTGCCATGCAAACTTACGTGTGGAGTGGCAAATTAATAAATGAGGCAGAATTTTATTTTCACTCGGATATTCGAAAGTGAACAAGCTATAATATTTACTCGTACTAACAACTTAATTACGACCCCCCCTCCCCTTCCACGCCAGTTTGTGCATCCAATCACGACACAAGAGCAGTGCTCCTTCGTTGTTTCTACAGTTTTACCCGGGGGGAGGGGGGGGGGGGTAGGCTCGTGACCTAGAGGTTAAGATGTTGGCCTCTCATTCAAAGGTCTCGGGTTCGAATCGGAGTAACGACCGAAAAATGTTCTTCTCTCCTTTCACCTCCTTTCCTGCTCTATAGCAATGTTCTGTCGTCTGCTTTCGGCTCCTCTTTCTGCCCCCACCCCTTCATCCCCTTTGCCCCATCCTCGCCTGGGCTCCTGACTCTTTCTGCAGTCTTTCTACTGCTACTGCTTGGCTTCTTCTTACTGCTATCTTTTAGCCACACCCCTGATCTTCTTGTAGGAAAGATCTACACCTAGCCTTATTCGGACAAGGGCGAAAAATCTCGGAGGGCCTGAGTGCAAGTTGCGCACGTTAAAGATCCCTTGGTGGTCTAAAATCGATAAAAGTACGCTTCGGCCGCCACCCGGACGAAATTCAAAATTTCCTACCAACTGAAAAAGTTTAATGTGTCCCGTGCGCTCATATGACCTCATGCAGCTGTCAGCGCCGTAAAACACTTACCAAAACAAAAATTCTACTCGATACAACAATATTTGTATTTCCACTATAATGCTGTTACTGGTGTGCGCCTTACACATGTGTTACATACTGGCCACATTAAAAAATGCAACACTTAGAGAATTGGCTAGTTTCTCTTAAGGGGGGGGGGGGGGTTACACCCCCCTAAGTCCCGATTCGGTTCAAAATTAAGGAATTTGAGCTGTATGCATCTTTAGCTTCATCAGCCTCTCCTACTACTATTTCATTGCTCTTTGCAAAAACCCCTAAAAGTCTTATTTTTTCCCGTACCGGGCATGTTTGTCACCACCATTTCCTCATAAAGTCAATTATTATTTTTCTTTATCGGCCGTTTTCTCAAAACGCGATTTTTATCTATACTTTTCAATTAACTCCCCCCATTTTTCATTCAATCTTAATGAAAGTTTCACAGAATGAAGAGAAGATGTAATATTAAAAATGAATCTGTTGAATTTGTGATATATGGAATAGAATTTTGTTGGTGGTGTCCGGAGTTTGGATTTTTACAGATTTTTGCAAACTTGAGTATATGTACTACCTCAGGAAAAAATTCATTAAAAATGTTCTAATTCGTTTAAGGAAAAAGCAAACAGGCTAGTTTTTTCTATTTAATGTTTGCTAACATGTATGCAAAATAAACAATCAATTTCCAAGAAAAACAAGTACGGTATTCATTACGTAAGACATATCAACAAAATCCAATATGGCAGCCGTATCCATGGAAACGAAACTTAAAAAAAAATTGATTAAGGGTTTTAAGACTAATGAACGTACTATGCTTGCTATATGTGTGAAATTTGGTAAAAATTTAGTCCACTAATAAGCGAGATAGCTTTCAGGTGTAGCCCCCCCCCTCCCTCGCCCCATTTAACTTAAACGTTCACAATATTTTTTTTAATTGACGTTGATTGGCAATGGTGTTTGGCTACACAACACCCCATCTTCCATGAACCCTGCTGCTACTGCTGTTGCACATGCCATTTAATGGCATCGGTTCCGCAAAGGAGACGGGCGTTTTAAGCCGGTCTTATGGTGGCAGCCTTGAAGGTGTGCAAGAGTTGCAGCTGCAGCTGAAGTTTTTAGCAGCTTCTCATTCACATTCCTCAGATTCCAGAGGGCCGATACGAGAGTTTTGTTGTGGTCAGCGGTGCTGAATATAGGCATACTGTTTGAGCGACACACAGCAAAAGATTTTGATAAAATTATGTTTTTTGTTTTAACGAGTCATCATAAAGACCACCTCATTCATTTGTTCTAAATTTTACTCACCCACATAGTCTCACATTGTGTAAAAGGGCCTATAATATAATTTGTATTATTTGGCGATAATCTGGCTCATTTAAAGGTTTAAACAATCACAAAAATCCCTATGTGTACATTTTAGCGATAGGAAAATCACATGAAAAAGAGATCAAAGTAAAAAAAAAATTCAAGAAGTATAATTAATTCGTCATTGAAAAATGTTGCTGTGCACCAACTGGCATATTCCTCTGCGGAATGGCCGCTCCTTTCAATTTTGAAGCTCGTGACGTCATAGCTAAGATCTCTAGTTCTATATATAGCCTCTTTGAAATGACGTAATAAGGCACGTGACATCTTCCTGATCATATGACTCTTTGTTGATTCGAGATTTCAAGGTAACAGTAGCGTTTGTCCCTTCACACAACTTCGTTTTAAGGCCCTAACACAGATTCCAGAGACGTAACGCTTATTAGGTATGTAGTTTTATGTGTTTGTGATGCATTACTGGGTACTCTTGTAATAACATTTGATACTTTTAGATGGAAGTAAGCCGACTTTGTAAAATAGATCTGCAACGTCGGAAACATAATAGCCTACCAATAGTCCTAGAGTCTAGAGGGCCTAGACTGACTGAGAAGGCAAGGGACGAAGAAAGAGGCCTGCCGATTCCCGGAGTCGTTGAAGCTAAATATTTGCATGCTTTGACAAGATCGTCTTGTGCATTTAAGTCGAAAACAAAGTTACATTTATTTATTCTATATTCCAGTCTAGGATTGATGATCCTAACCTTGCCTTATTGAGGTGTTGTTGTACGACATGCCTTTAAACGTAAAATTTAAGACGTAACGTAGAAGACGCATCTTTCTGATTGGCTGTTAATTTTAATAATGTGATGTCATCTGGGATACCCACAGACTATTTTAAGAAGGTAGCGTCGGTCGTCAATTGCCACCGAGTGACGCGGTTGCAATGGACAAAAATTGACTTTTTTTGGTCAATCAAAATGTATACAGACCCCGTAACCGGGAACAAAGAAAGTCACGAAGTATACAGACCCGGTAGGGGATCTCTTTTGTGATGTCAGGGTAAATTTTTACTTTCACTCCCGCACACAGATGCACTGTTTCAGGGGTTTTTAAAACTGCTGCACTGTTTGCTGCAGATCACACATAAAGCCACTAAAACTGTCGCAAATCAATTAATTTCAAGAAAATTTCAAATCTAACTGTAAAATATCAAATTATGGGAAAAAACTGGGGGGCAGGCCCCCCTGGAACCCTTTGATTGGTCCAAGGCATATATCTCGGTTAAAAACAATCAAATATTTAAAAAAACAACTATTAATTTGCGACGGAAATGAAGTTGATATTCGTGTTCAGCGCATCAATATTTAGTAAACAATAGACAACTGGTAGCTGAGTGTGAGACGGGGGGGGAAGTAAAAAAATACCGATGTCTGAAAGTTTCAGCGCCCAGACCCGGTAGTGTGTGTGTGTGAAAGAGAGAGAGAGAGAGGGCAGGGGGGAAGTGCTAGCAAAATATATGACATGCCCCAGTTGACAGGAGGAAACGAGAGAAAGATAGAGTGGGAAATAGGTGGGGAGAAAGAAAGACAGAGACAAACAAAGAAAAAGAGAATGCGAGCGATACAGAGAGACAGAGGAGAGAGAGAGAAAGAGAGAGAGAGTTCGATTGAAATTATGACATTGTTCTTTTCTTCAAATTGCGATTCCTCCAACTCCAAAAATGGAAGAAAAACAATCATTCATCGAAAAGACATCCGCAATCTTCCTTTAGATCTAGATCTAGGCTATCCTCGCAACTAGATCAATGATTTATGTCTGTCTGACTAGATCTAGGCCTACCCTTAATCCCTGAGCCAAGAGGGCGCTGAAACTTTCCGAAATCCAAAAAGAGTTCCCCTGCCGGGTCTGTATACTTTGTTACTTTGTTCCCGGTTACCGGGTCTGTATACACTCCCTTTGTCAATTGCCACCGAGTGAAGCGGTGTCAAGTCTGAAAACTACGCTATCTTTAGCATATATAAATACATAATGTGTGTCTAATGGGTCAATTTGTTCTCAACTAATTTCACTGGACGAGCATCTAGTCTAGAGCTACGGTACCAACTTGGCGTGTTTTCAATGAGACGTAGGCCTAGATCTAGGCTAGCTTTAGTCTACACTTTGATGTAGAAAATCAACACAGGCAATTCTTAGTATTCTAGAAGTAGAAGGTCACAAACTCAAGCAGAAAAGACACACACACACACACACACAGAGGGACAGAGAGGCGAACCCACAACACCGAGCACTCGAGCACAATAAGCTAGATCTACCCACCAATGTAAAAGAGCTCCAATTTATTTACTCGGTGGCAATTGACACTACCTTTTAAGAAGGCCGTGGAGGTACTGCATAGAATGACGTGTTTCCGGAATGTTAATAACATTTCGGAATTCCAGTATTGACACCGTATGAGTTGAATGTAAAAAATTTCCTTCATTGAGACATTGACGAGTTTGAGCTTCCTAATTTTCCGATTCACTGCGTCTATAGAATTCATTCTTTGAATGTTTCCTCTAGATCTACTGTATAAAAGAGACTAGATCTATTCATCATCGGAGCAATTTGAAATGAGTACCTAGAACAATCTAGATCTAAAAATCTAGATCTAGATCTAACACTTATTTTTTTGTGCTAGTTACATATTCTACACAAGAACATCTTTGATGAGTCATTCAAGTTACATGAAGCTACAGCGAGCACCTAGATCTAGCACACCTCTTTGATTGGCCCAAATATAGATGGCGTATTTCCGCCATCTATTTTTGTCGTTCTTCAGGGCTTGCCCCACCAGTTGACTAAATCTAGATCTCACCGTGGCGGGCTCGCTTTTCCCCGCGATGGGCTATGTCACTAGGTTTCATCGTCGACTGCTTGGATTGTAAGTGTGTGTGTGTACATCTTGAGGAGAAGGTTAATTTATGGAACGGGGTTTGCTGAGATTGTTTATAATTAATATACAAAAAATACCCCCCCCCCAAAAAAACTTTATAATTAATATACAAAAAATACCCCCCCCCAAAAAACGCAACAAACAGGGCGAGATATAGTGAACAGTAAAGTTACTGGCGAGGGAAACCTAAGCGTCTTGGGGGAAACCCCGGAAGACGACAAAAATAGGTGGTGGAACTGCATCATCTATATTTGGGGCAATCACAGAGATGTGCTAGGTGCTCGCTGCAGCTTCATGTATTCAAGTTCAAGTCATTGTCGTATATAAATAAGGCATCGTGGTGAAATCAGGCGCTTGTCGAAATAATGAAATCGAAGAAATGGGCATTTTTTTTCCCGACAGTTTGGCAGTTTTTATTAAATTTTTATTTTTTGCCCCAACATCTTTTATGTCTATGTAAAACAGATTTCCCTGTCAATTTGACTGAAAAATGTTGATTAAAGCTCAAGGTATGTATTTTTTCGTTTTCAAGGGCTCTCAAGCTATTGAAGCTACTGAACTTTGGTGGCAATTTTCTCACTTATTTTACCACAGAAACCAGATGACCTCACCTCCTTCAATGGCAAATACCTTAACTTCTATTCAAGATGGATGGTTATTTTTGTACTGAAAGCACGGTAAACGAATTTAAGCTTTTAGATGATACCATTAACTCCACATGACCAAGAATTGGTGAATGCCTGACTCTACTGCGTAGTGTTTATTGTTATAAAAATATTGTGTTTGCAGGTATAAAAATATTGTGTTTGCATAATAATACAGTCAAACCTTTGTAAGACGGCCACCCATTGTCAAGGAGAAAAGTGGCCGTATAAGATAGGTAGCCGTCTTAGGCAGGACTGATCAAGATGAAGAAAACAAACCATTCCCATCTGAGGTCCCAATCGAAAGTAGCCGCATTGTTGTTGTTGTTGTTGGTGGTGGTGGTGGTGGTGGTGGTTTGTATTTTGTTTGTAATTTTTATTTTGTTGCTAATTTTGCACAAGGGTGACAATAAAACAAAATGTATCAGACGAGGAAGACCGAGTGCCTTGTCAAAACAAACTCATTTGTCGCCACCACTTGGAGAACGAGCGACGCTTCTGTCACAAGTTCATGTTGACGTCCTTTGTTACTTTGTTACAGACTGGGTAAACGGTGACCAATCATCTCACTTACGATTAGTGTAAGAGTTCTGGGCGGGGTTTATGGGTTATGAGGGATCACACGCTTACCTCACCAGCAGCTGAAAATTGGTAGCTATTGGTCTACAGTGGGAGGGGCATATGCAACATGATTGGTTGGAGGGACTACTTAACAACAACGACAGGTGATTGAAATATGACGGCTCGCCCACAATGCCAGGGGCCAGTGCACAATTTATCACAAACGTAATGAAGTCTCTAAGGTGGCCGTCTAAGACAGGTGTTATTCAATTGCTTAGTGTGATAGGGGTTGTGTGTTAAAATATGGTGGCCGCGGCCGCGTTGGAAAGGTACCCGTTTTACACTGTTAAATTATTTATAATTATACAGAAAAAAACGCAAGGGGTAAATGGAAAGTGGCCGTTTGTACGAAGGCGACCCCTATTAATAGCGCAGTTGTGTAGGTCTCTCACCCGTGGTGAGAGGGAAAATCTTCTGGCTATTCTCACCCGGTATGTGTTCACCACTTAGTGCATCGGCTCAGGCCGATCACTCCGGGTGAGAGGACGAGCCTTTTGGTTATTATATGTTGAAACTCGTTCAGCTTAGTTTGAAATTCCTCGGAGGCCCAAAAGGTGTCATTCTCCTTAAGCGCCATTTTGCAGAAAAACAAGGCTCCGAGTTGCACAGCCAGATAGAGTCATCCTCAAGCTAGCAGCAACGAGAACTTCCGGGCAAAAAAAATGGCGACCGGCGTAGTTCGGCTTGATTAGAAAAATGAAATAGCCGTAGCATCTTTGTGAATTCATTTTTTCCTTTGTTTTTGTCAATTTGATTGTTCTCACAAATAAACAGTATTCAGAAGTTAATAAAAGCAGGTCTTGTGTCACACCGGGTGAGAATAGCCAACATTTGCAAGTCTCACTCACTGGGGGTGAGAATAGCCACTTTTTAATAAAAAATGAGGCACAACGTGGTGGAATCAGGCACTTGTCAGTTTTCGGGTATGTGGCGTTGTTGGTATCATGAAGTTTGTTCGTTGGTCGCGGCTATTCCGACTCAAACTCCAATGCACGTGCACAATCGCCAGCTGTGAAGCGAACAGGCAATTCAACCTTGACTTTCCTCGGTTTCTCCGATCTATCCTAAATTATTGACGCACATTATGAAAAATATTAGTGACATCAAAGATGAACAACAATACAGTAGTCTCAAAGTCTGAAATACAACTCAACGAAGGCAGACAGGGACACAGCAATCTGAGCCTAACTCATTCGCTATGCCGAGCGGTGGGCAGTGGTGCGGCTAACGTGACTTCACTACGTAAAGCT